GGTCTGGGTTGGGTGAGATAGAAAGATAAACAACCTCAAGAGAAGCTGCTGATTGATGAGAGTGGAAGGAAGGTCTGAAAGCAACAATAAATAACAAAGTATGCCTACCTCCTCCTCCTGGCTTAATATTTTAGAGGGCATGAGAAAAGGGGCACCAAGAACTAAAAGTTACTGATGGATTTAGTACCTTCTGGAGGAAGCAAGGCTTCTGTGAGTAGAAGATGGAAAAAAGTGTGAGAGGAAGAGGTTCAGGAAGAAGAGGGGTTTGTTAATGATAGAAAAGAGTTTCAGAGGGTCTAATGGAAGGAGGACGGTATGGCCAAGCTAAATGGGGATGAAAGAGTGAGGAGTAGTAAACAGATGGGGATTCAATCACAGTAACTATGGAGGATAGAGGTAGCCATAACCTGGCTTCCAGCTGAGCCTGGGGCATTTTGCAGGCTGCTACATTTGAAAAGAGATATGACTCCAAGTTGGGGTGAAGAATGCTGATCTGATGTTGTGGACTTGTAAAAGGGGGAGGCCAACCAGGTACTCAGACTAAGAGAGAGAGAGGTCATGGTTTCCCCAGAGGAGAACTGTTCCCTGATTTCCAGCTTGCCTCTTTCTTAGACTGTGAAGGCTATGTTCATTTGGGTGAGTTCAGGGCCTCTCTTTTAGTTTGAACATTGCATTCTTTCCACCAGTTAGGAATCATAGCACTCTCTGAACACTCAGCAGCAAGCAAAATGTCTCAGGCTTGGTTGGAAGTCTTCTTATATTACTAATAACAAGATGGAAGAAGGACCAGTTGAGTGGGACTCCTACCCTTTTGTAGTCTATGATGGTTAAACCCAGCACCAACTTTTTCTCTCAATAAAACGATCATTTATTAAGTACCTTTATTAAGTATCACTCACACTATGGTGTGTGCTTAGGTTACAAAAGGCACTATGGTGGGTGCTTAGGTTACAAAACCAAAAAAGAAAAATAGTTCCTGCTCTCAAGGAACTTATACTCAAAAGTTTCTAAAATCTGTCTCCAAATACCAAACAGCAGGAAGAATGGGTTGATCATCTGGGATGGTGATCAGGTTATCAGAGGCCTAACTGAACTCAGACCAGGTGCCATTTCATTGGCCTCATCTCAAGATGACACATACTCAGTAGCTGTATCTCTTATCTAGAGTATGCATCTGGCGTTTTGGCCGTTGTCCCTTCAAGTTTCTCCCTCTCTTTCTTATGCCAGATCTCCTAGTTTTCAACAAAGCCTTTTTATTTTTATTTTTTAGCATTTTGCAATTCTGTCCTTCTGTATCCATCAGGCCCATCTGAGAGCCATAATTATATTTCACATTTCTATGGCATTTTAAGGTTTCCAAAGCATTTCCCTCTCAATAACCTTGTGAGGTATGTAGGATGAGTCCTGTTATCCCAGTTTCGAAGATGAAAAAACTTGTTCAGGGAAATCAGAGTGGCTTGGCCATGGCTGCAGATTAAAGCTAGCATTTCAGTTCGGGTTTCCTGATCCAAGTTCTAGTACTCTTTCTTATCACAGGGGCCTTTTTCAATGATTCTTAGTTCATATTCGTATGCTAAAGCTAAGCAAACACTCCGGACTATTAAAAGCCCAATTTTTCACTCAAAAATATGTAAATATTTAAGACTCTGCATTTAGCCTCTGACAATAGAAAAGGCACCAAATTTGGAGTCAGAAGAGACAGATTGGAATTCTATCTCTGCACTATGCTATGAATTAGCTGTGTGATCACTTAACCTCTCTGGGCCTCACTTTCCTTGTCTATAAAATGAGGCTCTAAGATGCCTTCCAATTCCAAATCCTATGATGCTGCATTTTAATACATGGGCCCCAGACTAATATAAGTTAACATTTTTTTGAAAGAGGGATTTTGCCATATGTTGGAAATGAAAAAGTTGGGAACAAATTTATAGATGGGGAGGGGAAAAATCCTTTTTTACAGGAATGTTGTTATGATTATTGTTGTTACTTCAAATAGTGCCTCAGAGACAATTAAGGGTCCTTTTTTCTCCCTCCACAATGGAGAAGGGTACATCAGAACTGAAAGTAAACTGCTATTCCTTTACCTTCTAGAGAAAACAAAGCATTTATTCTTTTTCCCTGCTCAGTGGTAACAGGGATCTCTGTTCCATCAACCTCAAAGACCAATCTCTCTTCTACTGTCCTCCTGAACAATTGTTGAGATACTCATTGCAGGTACCAAAGTGAGGCCAAGAGATCAGGGGCAAAGACGTTAGGGAAGGAAGATGCCCTACGAGGTCCCCTTCTAGGAAAATCTCTGCTATTCATATCAGGATTAGGTCTACTGGACAAAACCCTACCAGTTTGAGGTCTGCCAAGTTTAGTTCTCCTTATTTATTTACTAACAATTAAAACTCCCTGTCAACAAGCCAACTATCTTAATGGGAATGAAAAGAGGAGGGAAGCATTCTTCCTGCCAGACACCAAGCACTCTCAGGATTGTTCAAAGAGGGGGAGAAGTAAAGTGTTGAAAACTGAGATGTAATTTTAAGCTGATGTGGAATGTGATTCCACCAGATTGGGTTTGGTTTTCCTACTTGTACCCTAAACTGGACTTGGTTACTAGACCTGCTCACCTCTGGCTACCGATCCCTAAATTCTCTTGCAACCACTCAGAAGGAGTGTGTAGATAGATTATTTATTAAGTTTATGAAAAACTTGAATTTGAAAGAAGCAGAGATTTTTTTCAGGGAGAGGTCTTCTATGGGCTTTCAGACAGAGGAGATTATAATATTTTTTTCTTAATGTGTAGTCTCTCAGGAAATGTTTGTTGACTGACTGACTGAGTGAATGAATAAATTAATAACAGAGGATTCTGTGTTCCATTTGCCTCCAACACTCAACAGAGGGACTTCTGTCTCCTCATCCCCTTCTGTGGTAGCAGCAAGAGGGAGTATTATACCAGGGATGTTCTTTAAAGGTGATCATATCTCTAATACTATCTGTATTTCACCTCTGTTTCCTTCGTTTACATCTCCTTCCTTCTATTTCTCATTCTCCTGAGATGACATCAGAGCAAAGCCTGGATCCTTTCTTGTCCTATTCCTTTTGGCCACTGTACATGGCAGAGTTGTCTTAGAGAGATAGAGTCATTGAGGTCTAGTCAATTAGACATTCATGTATGTGTGTGTGTGTGTGTGTGTGTGTGTGTGTGTGTGTGTGTATGTGTATGTTTGTGTAGTGCAGGTAATATGAATGGTAGACACAGGAAGATATGGTATAGAGTGACAAAAGGGTGTAGAGGTCATAAGGTGTAGTTTATGGTGTGCTGGACCTGAAGTCAGGGGACCTGAGTTTGAATTCCATTTCAGGTACTTACCAGCTATGTGATCATGGGCAAATCACTAATTTTCTCAATCTTAATTTCCTTTTCCACATTCCCAAATAGATCTAATAATGATTACCTTTCACAATTACTGTGAATAAAGTGCTTTTCAAACCTTAAAGTGCTATATATGTGAGTTATTGTTATTCCTAGATTGTTCTGCCTACTGAGGAGGCTGAATATGCTGGATGGTGACAGGTGTCTGGGAGATACTCTGACCTCAGACTCGTTTTTCTCTTTTGCTTAGTGTGGTGTAGTGGAAAAAAAAAGTGGAGTCATAAGAAGACAGAGGTTTCACAATTAGTGTTCAAGAGATATTTATTGTGCAAGTCATTATGCGAGACACTAGAAATATAAAGACAAAAATGATCCCTGCCTTCAAGAAGCTTACATTCTTAATGTGTACATATAGGCGTATGTGTGTATACATCAGGTATATATACACATATACATTTGCGTATATATATGTGTATATACATACATGTATATATGTATATATTTATATAGAAATATAAATTCTCTCTTTCTCTCTCACTTATGGCCCAAATCTAAAGCTCTAGGTTTACACAGATTGGGGTTCATATAATCTTGGGAGTTTATCACCCTTTTCCCTCCTTCCTCCAACATCAGAATTTAGCTAATTCTACCCCAATTCAGGGTTTTGTTTTCCTTGGGAGTCAGAATTTGCCTATAATGTCTATGATTCCACAATAAAAGAAAAGAGGTCTTAACTTCCAGGCACACACTCAAGATAGCAAGACACTGAATATAGGACAGGCTTTATTGGCCCAATGGAAAAAACAAAGGACTTGCACACAAGTTCATAAGTAGTAAAAACACCTCTCCTTCCCTCTTTGGTGAGCCCCATTTTCCCAAGGACCTATGTATCCCTTCAGACTTACGTTGCTACCTTAGTTTGACATCTTTCAAATTCTTGATTGCTAGAGAAAGAAGCAACCCTACCCTCTAGAAAACTGCATTTCAGCCAGAGATCTGTATACCCTTTCAGGCTTATAGTATTACCTTGGGATTGAGATCATTACCAATGGAAAAGTGCTTCAATAGAGGGAAATCCCCCACTCCCTGGACCCTGCACAATCTGCTTAACTCTTGGTATCAGTGAAGGACAAGGTTCATATTTGATTCCATATTCTGACTTTGTTCCTTGATGCCTCTTAATTTAAGCTGCCATTTGGTCCAGGATTTGGTTCTATCTAGGAACTCCCCTATTGCTTCACCATCACAGCTATTTCATTGATGGGGCTTCCTTTAGACTGTAAGCTCTTTGAGGGCAGGGACTGTTTTTCTTTTTGCTTGCATATATATCTGCAGTACTTAGCCCAGTACCTGGAACACAGTAAACACTTAATAAATATTTGTTGCCTGCCTGCTTGGTAGTCTTTTCTATCTACAAATTCTTCTTTCCCTGATCCCTTTCCTACTCTGATCCCTTTAACATTAGGCACAAATTCCTAATGCTTTTCTTTAGACATGATGATCCTTTCCCACCTGCCTGCTACTCCCCCATCCCCCACCTTATTCTGATTAGCACAGGACTTCCTGGTTGAGGGCATGGTGTTGGTATGCTGGTGGTAGAAGGGAGGGACTGTTTATGATATAAATCACTGAATCTTAGGATAGGAAGGAAACCTCGAACGTCATCTAGTCCAACTCATACCCGAACAAGCATCTTCTGTCTTGGAGACTAATGAACTGGAGAATGTTACTATTTGCTCCTGGAAGAAGGTCTTATCCTTTGAAGATTAGAAACGTGACTTCAGAATCACATAACTGTAAGTGCTATTGGTTTATAGTCGAAACTTCCTCCTCACAGCAATTACTTTCAATACTGAACAGGAAAAAAAAGTTAGAAGTCTGAAAGTTCATTTATGTGATGATGTATTGTGCATTGTAGGTAGGAATTAGAAACAGGATTTTGTTATTTAAAATTAAAATAATACTAACAAAAATACAGAGGCTTTAATTAAAAAATACCAGAAGAATAAGATATGAGTAGCTAGCTAAAATAAGTGGTTGTAACTCATGGTACTCTGTAGAGAAGCCATTAGGCCTGAAATGAAGTCTAGCTGCCTTGCATTTAGTGGAGACTTAATAAATGCTCGTTGAATTAAACTTGGTTTTAAGTTGCCCATGGAGCTTTGATAGGTCTATTACGAGCCATTATATTACTCATCCTTTCCAGAACAACTTCACCCCTCTCCCATCCCTTTCCCAATCTAGTAGTCATTCGCTGTTGTCCTTAATCTGCTAGGATTTTGGTGCCGGCAGTGGGAAACTAGGAAGGAATGAAAGTAATTTCTTGGGGGATATATTAAAAAAAAAACAGAACTCTGACTCATATCATCTGAGTCAGATGAGGGAAATAAGGCTTGTACAATTGGATCAATGTACTCTTTCTTGATTATCCCTTGGTGAATGTTGCTACTTCCTCTCTAGATGACAGAGAGAAGGTGTAACCATGTAACTCTTACTTTACTTGTTTTTATTTTATTCTGAAAAAAAAGAATGAGAGGACACAGTGGATGGAGCACCAGCTTTGGAGTCAGGAGGACCTGAGTTCAGATCTGACCTCAGACACTTACTAGTTGTGTGACCCTGGGCAAGCCACTAAACCCTGATTACCTAAAAAAAATTATCCTTGGACTAGAAAGGACAGAACAAAAAAATGGCCTATAATGGGGAGCTGGTAGTAAACATGTAGAGAGTAAGAGAGTCCGTAGTTGCTCTTGATAGATTCAAGGCACCAGGTACAGATCAACAACATCTAAAGGTACTGAAAGAGTTGGCAGATGTGATTACTGAAGCATTGTTTTTAGAGATCTTTGAGTGATCAAGGAGGTGGTGCCGTTGGATTAAAGAAAATATGGTACGGTAGAAAAAGCAATCAATTTATAGTCAGGAGACCTGGTTTCAAATTTGCCTCTGGAGACCTTAATATCTTCATCTGTAAAATGAGATATTTGTACTAGATGGCCTGTAGAGTCCCTTTCAACTCTAAATCTATGATCTTAGGATACTGATTTTCAGAAAATGGAAGAGAATAGAGTCTTGAATTACTGGCAAAAATCTAGAAGGTATTATTAAAGGATGATTAGTGAACACCCAAGAAAAGAAAACTGTAATCACAAAAGTCAGCAAGTCTTCATTAAGAACAGATCTTAATAGACTAACATCATTTCCTTTTCTGATAGTACTTGACAGATAGGTAAGGAAATAGTTATAGATACTGTTCATTTAGATTTTAGTAGAGTATTTGACAGTCTAACTTGCTCTTCTTGTGAAGAAAATAGAGGGGTGTGGCTAAGCATTGGTATATTTAGGTTGATTGAGAATGTTTGAATGACCAGAACCAAAGAACATTCGTGCTTTGATGTCAACTTGGAAGTAGGTCTTTAGTGGAGTGTCATAAGAATCTGTGATTAGTTTTGTGTTATTTAAGATTTTTCTCAGTGACTTGGATAGAAGCATAGAAGGAATGTTTATCAAGTTTGCAGATGACATAAAGCTGGAGGGATATCTAACACACCAGATGACAGACTCAGGATCCAAAAAGGTCTTGGCAGGATAAGATTTTGGGCTGAATCTGTGATGAAATTTGATTGGAATAAAGGTAAAGTCATACACAAGTTAAAAAACAGACCTCACCAATATAAGAGTTAGGAAGTGTGGTTAGACAATAGTTTGTTTGAAAAAGTCTGAGTATTTAGTAAACTGCATGCTCCATGAGAGATAATAGAATCCCCAAAGGCTGATCCATACTTTTTAGGACTATGGCGTCTTGTACTGTTCAGTACATTTTTGTAAAATCATGGTCAGTTCTGGGTGTTGCCATTTAGGAAAGAAATTGATAATTTGGAGACTGTCTAAAAGGGGGTGACCAGTATGATAATGGGTCTTAAGATCATACAGGATGAGATTGGGTTGGTGAGACTAAGGGTGTTTTAACTTGAAGAAGGGTTGACAAGATTGTCTCCAAAAGTGGAAGTTGTCTGTCACGTGGAAGCAGGATTAGATTTCATGGTTGTTGTTGCTTTTTGCTTGATTGTGGAGGGAAGAACTAGGAACAGTAGGTGGCAGTTACAGAAAGGCAGATTTAGGAAAAGGCAGCTAGGTGGTGTAGTACATAGAGTGCCAGGGCCTGGAGCAGGGGTGGGGAACCTGTGGCCTCCAGGCCACTTGTGGCCTTCTAGGTCCTTGGGTGTGGCCTTTTGACCGAGTCCAAGTTTTACGGAACAAATCCTTTTCTGAAGGGGATTTATTCTGTGACGTTTGGATTCAGTCAAAGGGCGGCACCCTGAGGCCGCAGGTTCCCCACCCCTGGCCTGGAGTCTGGAAGACTCATCTTTCTGAGTTCAAATCTAGCCTAGGACACTTACTAGCTATCTGACCCTGAGCAAGTCACTTAGCCCTGTTTGCCTTAGTTCCCTTATCTGTAAAATGAGCTGGAGAAGGAAATGGCAAACCATTCCAGTATTTTTGCCAAAAAAAAACCCCAAATGGGGTCATGAAGAGTTGGAATAATTGACTGAAACAACTGAGCAAATAAACAAGAAAAAAAAAAGATGGAGGACTTGGGCTCAGAATTTACCCCTGCTACTTGCCTCCTGTGTGACTTTGGGTCACACCTAATCTTTCTGGGCCTTGGTTTTTTCATCTGTGAAATGAGGGGGTTGGATTAGATGATTCTTCTTTCAGCTCTAAGTCTGTGAAACTATGGAATTTGTTAACTCTTAGAACTATCCCTAAATGGAATGGGCTGCCATGGTTCTAGGCTGCCAGGTTTCCCCTCCCTTGGTCTCTTTACGTGAAGATTTGATGACCATTTGTTAGGTCAGGGTCAGCTATGGAGTCTTTGACTCCAAATATCCCATTTATAACTGTATATAGCATGAAACTCCTTTCCACAATTTGTTGGTTTTCGTAGGGTTCTACTTACAAATCTTAGAGAATATAAGTCTTTGGCTGTACAAGCAGCAGAGCTAAAGATGGGCTCCATATGTTCAGACAGGAATTATTGTCCTGATGTAGAGATGTCTAAGTAAAAGCAAAGAAAGCACCAATCTTAAGCAATGGGAGGATGGAAAATGTCCAAAATATGAAATGGAGCCTCAGCAGCTTAGGCAGGTGCCTAGAGGTAGAAAAAGGTTGAGAATGATTGGGAAGAATGGAAATCAATCACATCTTTCTTTCATTGTTTCCTGAAGAAAATAGCAATTATTAATATTTGCTGAATGAAATGTACCAGAAAAGTTATTAATCAATTGTTTTCCTGAAATTTAGAGAATACATTGCTGAAAACATCTTAGTAATTTATGATTTAATCCATATTAGCAGGGATTATTTTTATTTATTTTTATTTATTTTTTCATTCTTTTTTTGTTTTTTTTTGGGGCTAGGCAATGGGGTTAAGTGACTTGCCCAGGGTCACACAGCTAGTAAGTATTATGTGTCTGAGGCTGGATTTGAACTCAGGTCCTCCTGAATCCAGGGCCAGTGCTCTATCCACTGCTCCACCTAGCTGCCCCTTAACAGTGATTGTTTTTAAAAGGGTTGTGAAGGCATGACAAAATTGGCACCAGGATTATCTCCTTTAAAAGAGTTGGGGGTGTGGGTAGAACTCCCTTTTTTGTTTGAGACTCTGTGATTTCCTCATTCCCAATGAGGATACTCCCAACTAAAACCCCATCTTTTACTGGAAGCCTTCCTCTGTCCATCTTAATTTTAGTGCCTTCCCTCTGTTAATTATTTCCTATTTACTTTGTATATATTTGTTTGCATGTTGTCTCTCCGACTGAATTGTAAGCTCCATGAGGGCAGGGACTGTCTTTTGCCTCTTTGGGTATCCCCAGTGTTTAGAACAATGCCTAACACATAGTAGGTGCTTAATAAATGCTTATTAATCAGATGACTGATGCTCCCTTTGCCAATATGGATCATCAATTGTTCTGTAATTTATAATCTTAAAAGAGTTGCCTGGGAGTACTGAGAGGTTAAATGACTTGTCCAGGGTCACATAGTCAGCATGTGTCAAAGACAGACCTTGAACCCAGCTCTCTTTGAGTCTGAAACCTGTTTTCCATTCACTATGTCTGGTTCCTTTTTTGTAGGTAAACAAAAGTAGCTGAAAAGGTAGCCAGATGACTACTTCTTTTGACCCCAGGCTACTCCCTAAAATATCAATCACTTCCTGTGTCTCTCCTGGTTCACCAGGTGTTTGCTGAGATCGTAGTTCATGAAATTAAACTTTGGAACCAAATGGATTAAAGAACGAGACCTTTGATTTTAAGACATCTGCTATATAGTTTATATACATATATGTGTATATGCATACACATACATACATATAGTTTAACTAAATGGAGATAGATAAATATGAGGTTTATTTTAATGAATGTGTTTAATTAATTATCTAAGAAAGCCTCTGGTCTTTTTACCATCCTCATATATTTACTGAGTCTCCTGTGACTAATAACTGAATCTATTAATGTTTTACCCCCTTTCTTCCTTTTGCTTTTTTTCTAGGACTACTGTTTCAATCATCATGGATTCTTACCCTAGAGGATGCAACTCCAACCTAAACTTGGCATACCATAAACTTTGTGACTTGGACAGCCCTTGGGGCATTGTTCTAGAGGCATTTGTAGCAGCTGGAGTTGTGACCTCAATTGCCTTCATGTTATCTCTTCTTATTCTTGTCAGCAAGGTCCAGGACTCCAATCGTAGAAAAGTCCTTCCTACCCAGTTTGTCTTTCTCCTGGGTGTATTGGGCCTCTTTGGCCTCACCTTTGCTTTCATCATCAACCTCAACGAGAGGACTGGTCCCACTCGTTTTTTTCTCTTTGGAGTCCTCTTTGCTCTCTGCTTCTCTTGCTTACTTGCACATACATTCACCTTGGCCAAGTTGGTCCGAGGGAAGAAGCCCCTCTCATTACTGATGATCCTGGGCGTGGCCTTGGGTTTAAGCTTGGTTCAGGACATCATTGCTATTGTTTATGTTGTCCTCACTGTGAATAAGACCGGTACTAATACCTTTTCTGAAATGCCAAGGACCCAGCGCAATGAAGATTTTGTGATGCTGCTGATCTATGTCCTCTTTTTGATGGCTTTCACCTTCATCATGTCTCTATTCACCTTTTGTGGCTCCTTTACTGGTTGGAAGCGGCATGGCGCACACATCTACATAACCATACTTTTCTCTGTTGCCATCTGGATAGCATGGATTACTTTGCTTTTACATGAACCCTTTGAGTCAATTTGGGATGATACCATCCTTAGCACTGCCTTGGTTGCCAATGGCTGGGTCTTCCTATTAACGTACATTTTGCCTGAGTTTATCATCTTCACCAAGCAATGTAACCCAAGGGACTACCCTGTGGATGACAACATTTGTAAACCTCAATTCATGAAACAGAGCTATGGTATGGAGAACAGAGCCTACTTGCAAGAGGAAATCACTCAAGGTAATGCATGGACATTCACTCACATAGGGAGTGGTAAAAGATTAATCGAATTTGAGAACTAGAAAGGATTGTTGTTCTTGTTTGTCCTTTATTTTCAAAGGTGATCATGACAGCAGGAAGGTGATTCCATGACTTGCAAGTGAATTGGATTTAAGTGAGGGAGGTCTGTGCAAAGTCACCAGCCTCACTTTCTCCTCTGGAGCCAACTGGGCCCAGTGGAAAGATATAGATCAGGATGATAGGAGATGGCTCTGGATGCAGTGGGAGACCTTGGCCTTTTTAAGCTAAGGTCTAGATATTATCCAGTACAACTCTCTCATTTTTTAGATAAAGGAAATTGAGGGACAGAGAATTCAAATGATTTGTCCAAAGTCACAAAGCTAGTAAATAGAAAAACCCCCAGATATTTTGACTCTTAATCCATTACTGTTTTCACTTCACCATGACTGCCTGTCATATATAATTTCCCATATTTGAATAGCTTTCTAGGTTTTATAGCACTTTAACATATGATCTCATGGAACCTTTACCACAACATTGTGGCATAAGGAAAGTAGGTATTATTATTGCAATTCAATATTTTATAATTTTTTAAAGCTTTATAGCTATGTGGCATTTTTCAGTTTATTACCATCTACACTATTATATTATTTCATCCCATTCATAACAGAGGGGGGAAAAATCTTATTTCATCCTCCTAACAATTCTGTGAGATGTTAGTACAATTAATAATAATGATAATAATAATAATAAGCACCTACTGTGTGTTAAACACTGTCCTAGGTGGAGTTAGGTACATAAAAATATAAGAGATGCTCCTGGTCTTTAAGGAGAAGAGTTGGGATAGAGGGCCCATAGAGAGGATGCAAAGATCTGCATCCATCATCTGTAGTATGGAAGGCAGATATCAAACCAAAATCAAAGAAGTTATGCAGATTAGAATATGCCAGACAACATACAGAGTGAATGAGCTCTTTGCAGGGGGAGGTGTTGGAAGACTGTAATATGTAACAAATAAGGAACTTTGAAGAATAGGAGCATTCCAACAAGGAAATTGTATAATAGAAAAGAAGTTGAGCTGATCTTCAAGCATTCCACTGATATTCTCATGGTGTCATCAGGAAGGGAAGAAGGCCCAGCATGGTGGGTGCAACCCACATGTGAAAGAACATGGACAATGGTAATCCACCTAATAAAAACCAAATGAATAAAGAATGCATGTTGCTCAGATGGTGGCATTTATTTGTAGGAGATTTAAATTATCTTCTATCAGAGTTGGACAAGTCTAAAATAACTATAAACAGAAAGGAAATTATAGACTTGAAAAGAATGTTGGAAAAAATTGAATATCCAATATCCAAAATATGAATTAATATCTATTTGCCTCAGTTCCTCATCTGTAAAATGGGCTGGAAAAGGATATGGCAAACCATTCTAGTACCCTTGCCAAGAAAAGTCCCCAAAAAGATCATGACCAAAATGACAACAAAAAAAAAATAGAGAATTCAATTTCTGAACTCTTGGGAGAAGGATGATAGACTAATAGAACTTTGTTTACATCTAGAGCCTTACACTCGGCAGCACTGAAATTTTGGAATGTCCTGGGTGTGGAGGACAATCATAGCTAACTGTATGGGTGGATGGTTTTGGAACTAGAGGTTAAGGCCTTTCAGGGCAGACTAGATGGATCTGCTCTCAGTCACAAGTGAGTCCCTCTAGTGTACTGCAGTGCTGAGAAGCAATTCCTCCTGGCTTATTTCTCAGGGCTATTGTGGTTCCCAGAAAATCACCTGGAAGACTGATGAGACAAAGGCAATGAGGAAAAGGGTGTGTGTGCAGGGAGGGGTTCTTGGAAGAGAGGGAGGAGATCTTTCTTAAATCCTCACTCTTTTCTGTCCCCAGATGTGCACAAACAGGTAAGTTTTGGGGAATGGCTTAAATTTTTAACTGATATGCTAGTATTTTCAACCCTATAGAGTTGAAAAGTTTAGAAGTTTAGAACCTCTGCTTGCTTCAGTGTACATAGAATAGGGTTTTTAGTAAAACGTTTAAAAATTATTTTGCCCTTATTCTTTTTTTATTTTAAATTTATTTATTTTTAATTTATAGAATAAAACAAACATTTCCATAACATAGTATAATAAAGAAAGATGATTGCTCATGAAACTGCAAATCTACTACGTATAACCTGCTATTTCTTTTAAATATACAACAGTAATGTAAATTTATTTTTTTCTTTACTCTCCTCCCGGCCCCCCCTCTCCCATTCTTCCCCAGAAATGGCCACTATCAGACACAAATATGTATGTGTATATACACATATATGTGTATATGTAAAATTATTCTATATATATTTCTGTTAATCTGAGAAATGGATTAATGGGTAAAAGGAATTAAATGGGTAAAATCAGGAGTGGGATTCACTTGTAGAGTTTTTCTGGTACTCTCAAGATAATAACAACAATAATAATGATAATGATAATAACTAACATTTATATAGTGTTTACTATGTGCCAGGCACTGTGCTAAGTGCTTTACAATTACTATTTCATTTGATCCTCACAACAACCCTGAGAGGAAGGTGCTATTATTATCCCCATTTTAAGATGAGAAAACTGAAGCAAACATATAGAAAGTGACTTGGGCAGGATCACACTGCTACCACATGTCTGAGGCCCGATTAAAACTTAGGACTTCTCGAGCCCACTCCCAGGGCTCTATCTACCACTAGATATATTCAAAGACTCTGCAAAAACATTTTGGAAGACTTCCTTGGAGGAGGGGCAATGCCAAGATCAATGGATTTCTTTGGTTTGCTTCTCTAGGAGATGATGAGACTTTATGTAACTTGGTATAGGAAAGTGTGATTTTTTTCCTCTTTCTCTCTTTCAGGCCCTGAAAGCTCTGGCAGCAGCACACTTTATGCTCCATACGCTACCCATTTCCAGTTGCAGGTAAATTAGTTTCCTTTCCTTTCTTCACCTGTGGCATTAGGGCATCAGAGCTACCTCTTATGCTAATTAGGACTCTGGGTAGTTGGGACTCTTCTTTCAACCAGGATATCTTGGAAGGGACTGTGATTGAAAGGAAAACTAGAGAAAGGGGAGCCCCAGAGTAGAGTTCTACATATGCTTTTTTTTCACTAAGATCTGGGATGAGTTTTATAAAAAATAACATTTACATAGCACCTGCCATGTGCCAGGCACTATGCTTAGTGCTTCACAATTATAATCTCATTTGATCCTTACAACAACCCTGAGATGTAGGTGCTATTATTACCCCCATTTTACAGATGAGAAAACTAAGGCAAACAGATATTTAAATGACTTGCCCAGAGTCACATAGCTAGTAAATGGCTGAGGCCAGATTTGAAGTCGCATCTTCCTGACTCTAACCACTGTACCATCTAGCTGCCTCAGTTTAATAACAACATTTTAACTAGTTTAATAGTAACATTATTTCTTTTTTCAGAATCAGGACTCTCAAAAGTATTTCTCAATCCCACGAGCTAAGGCCATTTCAGGCCCCTATGATAATTATGATGGAAGGAAAGAAGGCAATGACTATCACCATGTAAAATGAGAAGATAAACACAGAATGGCAGCAGAACCAGCTGAAGGCTTATAGGAAAATGGAATAAGCCCCTCCCCCCCCGAAGATGCCAAGGAAACTGGATTAACAGTAGGGGGCTGTTCCTCCCTCCTAGCCCCAACTCTCTTCTAATTCTTGGAAAGAAGGGAGTAAACCAGGCTGATGTTCTGGATGATGTCATCTATTTCTATTTCTTTCCCTGGTCACTACTCCAAAGTATTTTCTTTCACAAATAGTTTTCGTCAACTCAGGATTAGAACCTACAGTCAGGTGAGGAAGGCCCCCATCTCAGTATATGTGTGACCTCCAATTTAGGCATTCTGAATGCATATCTTTGGTTCATTGAGCTTTATAAATTCAACGCATCCTTCTGAAGACAGATTGCCTAGCTGTTTTTGCGTGATTCATGGGCTTTGCAAAGAACAGGATTGAAAAACTGAGTAAAAACAACAAAAGGTTAAAACCAGCCTCCCAATCCACATTTGCCTTAATATAACCCCCTTCCCCAAATCAACTCCCTGACATTTATCTTTCTCTGTGGGCACGATGGACTTCTCCACCACTCTAGATTTGGCAATCTCCACAGACCTGTCCAATACCCTGACCTCTTCTCTCCCTTGCCATTATTTCATAGGCCAAACCCGCCATTTGTTTCCCATTAAATTCAAGACTAACACTTTATCCAGAGTTCCCCTTCCAGATGTCCTTTGTCTGAATAAGCCTGATGTTCTTTTCTCAGAAGAATTTGCTCTGTTCTGGAAGCAAAGCTGCAGCACTGACCCTCATTCCTGAACCTAGCTGTACATCCTCTGTAAATACTCTAATATTGCCTTTATCCTCCCTGTTCAATAAATGTGTGGATGGTGTTTACTAATGTGGCAAACTTTCATTATTTAATAAGGTATTCATCATTTCGCAAATGGAATAAGCAATAAAAGGTGAGTTAGTAACTGAAGTAATTTATTCTCCACCCCTTCCATGAACAGAACAAGTTGTGGGGATCATCTATCATGCAAGCTAGAATTAACCTCTGACAAACTTGAGGCAGGAGCTTGAGTGAGTGAAACTCTTTCCTGATAAATCTGAATTCAGCAGAGGGAGGCTGTATCTTCCTTTCTCCGCTCCACGCCTGGGACGTGGCTGTCTTCTCTAGTGAAATGGTCAGAATGCTTCTTTCTGGGGAAGTGGGAAGCCAGTTTGTATAAAGTCAGGGTAGTCATGGTGATGTTATGCTTTTTAGGGACTAAACTTTAGCCTAACCCCACATGGAATTCTTCCACCAATGAGCAGCTTTAACGTTTCTGGCTAAAAGGAATGGGGAGAAAAGAGGTTAGGGCTGGGTAGCACACTGTTTTAGTACTTCCGGTCTATAATTCTAGGTTCTATTGTTCCTTTATCATTCTCTTATTATAAGGGTTATAGTACATACTTACTATAAGGGTCTATAAGGTGCATTCAGGGGTTATTAGGAGACCACTGTTTTAATAAGCTCTTTCCAGTGTAGCAAGTATTCCATGAGAGCAAGATCCCAGAGCCCATCAAGATTCTAAGAGTACCCTGAGGGGTACCCCTTTCTCTAATTCCATCGACTCAAGTTTCCACTAGTTATTTCCCCACTTTTGGCCATCAGTAACTAATGACCCATTTGCATTTGACTACTTGACATAAATGAGCTTTTAGAAAGGGATGTTTATTTTGAGAATATAATAAGAACAGAAGTATAAATATTTGCCCCTACATTTTGGAGACACCGTTCTCCCTTATATTTCCTTGGTCTGTAGAAAGAAGGGCTCAAAATTAGCACAGTTTCTACATAGCACTACTCCCACCAAGTTCATGTCCACAAGTGGTATGAGTGTTTGAGTACTCACTCAGCTGCTGATGTTTCTGAGGTCCTCATTCCTTGTGGTATCAATGCTGGGCAGGCTGAAAAACCCAACACAGATTCTAATTCCTGGATTCATGTAATTCCTGGACTCCCCAGACTCCCAGAGGCTTGTTTTCTTGACCTTTCAAAACTCAGAAGGCCGAAGCCTCCAGATTCATCTCCTTTACTTAAATGAAGAATTAAACAATGAGACAGGCAAGGGACTGAAGCCTGTATTCGTGGAACAATGCTATTCCCAAGTCTCTTGGGTCAGGATTGCAAGCTGTGTCCATCATGGTCTGAGGAGAAATAGCGGTCAGGTTTGTGGTGGTGGTTTGACTTGAGTGGCACATATGGCCTCAAGGTTCCTTGCTGCTTCTGCCAGGCTGGCTTGTCTTCTCTGGGGATGACAGTTACTGGGGAAGGCTGGCCCCTTCTCCGCAGGAGTTGCTTACTTGGATGATGGCTATGAGAGCTGGTTTGGAACCAAGACTAGTGGTCTGGGGGAGCGGGAAGCTGCTACTCCCAAAGCTCCAGTATGTCCCATAGTGGGAGTATTTGTTTAATTTACACAGCTTCAATTAATTACCTATTCCTTTGTCCATCTCATGGATACAATACCCACCCTGGAAGCTGCTGTGAGGCTTATCCATTCTAGGCTGTATTTTTTTTTTGATTGGTTTTTAAACCATCCAGTATGTTAGGGAGTCTCAATTCTAAAATCTTTCTTTTCCCAGATTCTCCTTAAAAGAACTATAATGATGCAGGACTGGTGGGTAGGAGGAGTTTCAATTATAAAAGAATTGGCATGGGGGTGAGGAAGATTGTTGTCCCATTTCTATTGTCAGAAATGTTATTCCAGAATAAGCTGTCTGCAGCTCTTGACTATGGAAGGAATGTTTCACTTCATCAATTAAAACATCAATTATTAAAGGAATTTAATTGGATTTGCATGGTTCACAAATGCCTACTGCATTATATAATAAAAAAAAGCCTTGAACCTGTTGTACTAAACCAGATTTAGGCTTGTCTCACAATGGGTGCTGTGGGTGGGAATCTGGATGAGACAGCTGTTTTTTTTTTTAACTGCCACTCAGGGACTAATTTTAGCATGACCTGTATGCATTCAAATTAGTTTTAAACCTACTAACAGGTAGTGGATATGTTTTTGGTTTTGTGCCCTTTTGAAAAGTAGTCAGATGGAAACTTTCCTCATCTTGGCTCTCTCCTCCCCTACTAAATCAACTATTAGGAATAAATTTGAGCCTCCAATGTAGCCCTTCTGGAATCTTCTCTTCTGACGTTATATTTTTTACCCCATTTCTTCCTTAGAATGAATTTCCCAAGCCCACCTGCTCCTTCCCCTGACCATCTCCTTCATCACCACCTAGACAGTCTTTCATTTCAATGAAGAGTCCTTTTAGTGAAGTATTTCTGAAGCTGAGTACTTGTCACATGGGTTTGATGTGGAAGAAGACCACAGCCATATGTGAGCTTCTGTCCAGCATGCATGCCACCATAGTAGTAATGGTTCTTTCCTTTTGGTGTTCTCACAGGAATCTTAGAAGAGAAGGGGTAGGGTTGGGAGATTTGTCACCCAGGAAACTTTAGGAGAACACTTGGGTTGAAACGTGACAGCAAGAGAAGAATGGGAGGAGAACTTAAAAGTGGTTCCAGAGGTTTAATTGAAGGAGTGAGCAAAGCCCTAGCTCCCAGTTTGGCAGAATTGATTCTTAATTATAGTAATGGTCAACAAATTCATGGCACCAAGCTATTAGTGTTAATCTATTGGCATTTCTGTGGGATGAGGCAATATTAACTTCCTCACTTTATGGAGAAGAATGACTTCTAAATTTGTATTTGAGTCAGGAGATTAACTGGTAAGTATCTGGTTGCTTATTCACTCTTCATCAAAAGGAAAATGTACTGCATGGCTTAATGAATAGAGAACGGTCTCTGAGTCAAGAATACTTCGGTTTAAGTTTACTGTTTGATGCTTACTGGCTGTATAATCCTGGGTAAGTCACTTTACCTCTTAACCCCAAGTAACTTGCTGAGACTATAAATTACAGAGCAGGTACCCATGTACATTGGTGGAGAGTTCCTTTTATCAATGGTATCAGTAATAACTGCTTGCCCTTCATCAAAAGAAAAAATAAAGGTGGGGATGAAGTTGGTATTCTGAGGAATTGATGCTTTCCCCAAAGAGAATACAGCCCTTGGACTACATCAATTTAAGTTGTACAGTCGTTTCAATTGTGTCTGAGTCTTCATGACCCCATTTGGGGTTTTCTTGCCAACGATGCTGGAGTGGTTTAGCATTTCCTTCTCCAGCTCATTTTACTGATGAAGAAACTGAGGCAAACAAGGTTAAGTGATTTGCCCAGGGTCACCCAGCTAGGAAGAATCTGAGGCTAGATTTGAACTTAGGTCTTCCTGACTCCAGGCCCAGGACTCTATCAGTTGCACCACTCAGCTGCTCCTAGTGCATTAAACATGGTGGCAATAGTTCTATTGTAAGAGCACACCTTGCCTAACCCTTAGAATCACTGAAGATAGGAATGGGTAGCCTCTCAAGGTAGTGAGTCCCCTCTTACTGCAGGTGTCCAAGCAGAGGCTTGATAACTATTTGTCAAGGACACTGCAGAAAGGAATCATGAATCTGATAGGTATTAAGAAGAGGTTCTTAACCTGGGGTCTATGAATTTGCCTTGAAAAATATTCTGATAACTATACTTCAACATAATTGGTTTCTTTTATAATACTACATGTGGTGAGGCCTCACTTGTGAGGGCCATCCCCCCTACATTGCGGGGGGGGGGAGGGTGTTGTGTGGCTCAAAGGAAGGTGGAATAGACATCTTCAGGGTCTTTTCCCACCCATCTCCAAAGGAGACTTTAATTCGTACCAGGAGAGGAAGTAGGAGGTTGGAGCTGGAGACCACTCTGTCCTCAGAGAGAGGGGGTAAGGAGCTAGAATTACTTCTATCTGCACCTTTAAATATTGTTAGTCTTGGGGATGTGATTACTAGGTTCAAGCTAATTTCTGATCACTGTTTCATGTATATTTTATTTTATGCATTTAAAAACATTATTCTCACGAGGGGAATACAAGCATCACCAGACTGCCAAAGAGGTCCATGATGCAATAAAGATTAAGAATTTCTGCCATTAAACAATGCTTGAGATCTCTTCCAATTAAAGACAGAGATTTAAAAATATTTCTCTTGTTAGGTGTAGTTGAATGTCCTTTCCTCCTTACTTTCTTTTCCCCAGTCAGTATTTTTATGTCCTTTTTCTCAAGTGGCCATAAGTAAATAATATTGTCTTAGTAGTTTTGGTGGGAATAATAACCTAGCCACTTAACCCCATGCAAATTCAGTTAGTTTTTGCTTAAAAGTTAACGAGACCTTAAAGGCTTGAGTTGTTGAGGTTATTTCCTAATCACCTGAGAACAAATCAGCCAGCAGGATTTCCAAGCATGCTCTCAAGCTTGGCTGGTGGATCAGAATGAGTAATAGGAAAGGGAGCTTTGTTCACATGAATCAACTTGAAGTATCTTCAATCCCTTTCCTGGTTGAATATCCTTCTCCTACCATGGCTAAGTGAATCTTTTGTTAGTTATTGAATGACCTATGTACATCTCATTTTGTTCTGATATTGAAGCTAAACTACCAGGGGACTGTCTGAAGTTAGGCCCAGTCAAGAACAGTAGTTTGAGATAATATATTTTTTAAAGAAAGCCCAGTCATACATAGAGACATACCTCCCAAACTCGATTGTACATTCTCTAAAGATTGAGCCTGTTCCTTATACTTCTATACATTTACCATAACATTTGCTCCTGTATAGTTTGGTTCCCTATGAATATCTCTCGATTCAGTGATTGAACTACCTACATCAAACACTTTTTCTTTATTAAGCATTTTTTCCCCTGTGAGTAGCTATAAAAGAAAATCATCAAAAAGGGAAGGGCTTATGCAGTAGTGTGCTGGTAAATGTTTCACA